CAAATTATTCATGCTCCACCACAAATCATAGATGTGTCTCCGATGGGAGCACATAGAACAATCATTTATACAGCCGCATGCTAATATCACCAAAAGTCCTTAAATAAAGCTATGTAAGTCACTGCAAAATGCCATGTCATTTATCCTAAAATCAGGGGGATGATTTCACTCGATCTAAACAGAGCCTGGGGGCATCTACAGGGGTGGTCAGAAGAGTCGAGATGACAGCCACATTCATGCAAACTTTGTTCACGCTCGTTCACATTTCAAAAATTAGCCTCTTTGATAGTTGATGGGGCCACGACTGGCGTTGAAAACTCAGCCTATTCTTTTCTCTCTCTCTGTGCATGTGTGAGAGTGAAGGAAGAAAAGAGAGAAAGTTGCAAACGGATGAGAGAAGCTGGAGGTGGTGGAGCTTAGATGAGGGTGGGACCGTCTGTGTCAGATCACCTCACATTTCATTAGCAGCAACAGCTGTAAAAAAGCTCCGTATGAAGATGGGGCAGAGGTGCTGTCCTCACATTTGACGATGTCTTAAGTAAGAAGAAGTCACCCTTGAATTGGGGTGTCATCAGGCACGTGTTATTTTATCCCACCTTCCCCAAATGCTCACAGGGTATTTGGTTATTGCGTTACATTTAATGGTTTAACAAAAGCAATCTTCTCTTTATAATAATGTCACTCTCCCTCAGGATCATTGACATCCTTTAGTACTGTGGATATGGGACTATCTAGATAAAAACAATGTTAATTTTACAAAAATACTCCTCCTCCTCCTCCTCCTCCTCCTCCTCCTCCTCCTCCTCCTCCTATCTGTATTCTGCAATTTGCAGAAATCAAAGATCATTTTTTTTTCTTTCTTTCTTTCTATCTTTCTTTCCTTCCTTCCTTCCTTTCTTCCTTCCTTCCTTCCTTCCTTCCTTTCCTCTTCCTTCTCCTCCTCCTCCCCCTCCTTCTATCTGTATTCTGTAATTTGCAAAAATCAAGCATCTTTCTTTCATTCTTTCTTTCTTTCCTTCCTTCCTTCCTTCTTTATTGATTGATTGATTTCGTCCCCCTTCCCCTCCTCCTCCTCCTCCTCCTCCTCCTCCTCCCCCACCACCACCACCACTGCAAAGGCCAACCTTCAGTGCATGAATTTTACCCTGATGGCCTTCTGTGTAATTAAGGGAGATTTTAGATTCCATAAAATCAGCAGTAGCGCCATGGTCGGTCTGATTTCGATTTCACAAACAAACAAAAAATTGCATTAGGAGCAAAAATTGGCAAGAGGATTCTCTTTCAATGAAAACTGTTCTACATCCCTTTAGAAAAACAGCTTCCTGTGACCAAATACAAAATCTCATCAGAAATGCCTATACTTTGGGGCTATCCTATCTAATTTTGGATTAATCCATTATAGCATTTATTAAACTTGAATGGTATCAGCTAATATTCAGAAGCTGGTCTGAGAATGAAGGATATCAGCATCTTTGAAACCATTCTGGCACTAATTGCAAGAATTAGATTAAAATTTTTAACATGTGGTAGCTATATTTAATTCAGCTATATTACACTTCTATTAATATCTTCAACATAGTGCCTATATTGAAATGTTGTGGGTTTTTTTTAAAAAAAATGTCTTCTGGCTGATGTTCGATCTGAGGAAAGCTTTAAAAGTTTTCTTTAAATTTCACTTTATGCAAAACTTTAATGATAATAATTTTTTTCAGTCCAAGATTTCCATATTTGCTTGACTCTGGAAAGAGTACAGAGAAGAGCAACAAAGAGGATTAGGGGACTGGAGGCTAAAACATATGAAGAACAGTTGCAGGAACTGGGCATGGATAGTTTAATGAAAAGAAGGACTAGGGGAGACATGATAGCAGTCTTCCAATATCTCAGGGGCTGCCCCAAAGAAGAGGGAGTCAAGCTAATCTCCAAAGCACCTGAGGGCAGGACAAAAAGCAACGGGTGGAAATTAACCAAAGGGAGAAGCAACTTAGAATGAAGGAGAAATTTCCTGACAGTGAGAACAATTCATCAGTGGAACAACTTCCCACCAGAAGTTGTGGGTGCTCCATCACTGGAGGCTTTTAAGAAGAGACTGGACAGCCACTTGTCTGAAATGGTATAGGGCAGTGATGGCGAACCTTTTCAACAACGAGTGCCAAAAAGGTTGCTCAGAAACATCACATGCACGCGCTTGTTGGGGCCACGCTCCAGAAAAGCCAAACTTCCGGGTTCTAGTGCGCATGTGCGCCCGACGATCAGCTGGCTGGAGCGCTTGCACAGACCGGTTTTCAACACTGCCGTGAGTGTGAAGGGATCGCGCTCTGGAAAAGCCGAAGTTCTGTGTTCTGGCACGCATGCGCACCCAACAATCAGCTGGCTGGGGTGCATGTGCATACCGGTTTTTGGCACTTTTGCGTGCGCGAAGGATAGCTGATCATCATGTGTGCATATGCGCCAGAAACCCAGAAGACAAACAGGCAAGTGCTGGGCGACATGGCTTGGCATGCCACTTGGGGCACTTGCGCCATAGGTTCACCATCACGGGTATAGGGTATAGAATGGGCTAGAAGACCTCCAAGGTTCTTTCCAACTCTGTTATTGTGTTATCTCCAGTTGAAACAGAGGCACAGCTGTTCTGTGGCCGAAAGTAATACATAGCAGCTGGCAGTCCTTTTAGGTATTTTCATTAACAGAGCACTGATCCAGCTAAATCCTTGGTTGTTTGTTCTGTGCCTTTGCTTATAACCAGTGCCTCCTCTTGCATCCTTTTTCAAAATTGGAGCTTAGCAATACGGGACTCCAAGAGGCCTCGATACATATTCCAAAATAAAATATAAGGATTTCTTTTTTAATCACAATAGGTGAACTCCATAAGATCTCATATTAGAACGCCCACAACTTTGATGTCGTTCCTACATCAGCTTCCAAGAGATTAGAGATCCATGACATTTCATGAGATTCAGCCACTTTTTACTTCTCCGAAGTAAAAACTGAAGGAATTGAGATAAGGATAGAGAAGATGGCCCTTGAAGGGATCTCAAAAAGAAGAGAGTTGGCTTCCAATATCCAAGGCTGCAGAACAGGGAATAATGTCTCAAATTAGAGAAAGACAGAGAGAAAAACGTTAAGTGCAGGGAGGGCAACTCCCTAGTATAACCAAGGAAGTTTCTCTTCATTTGAGCTGTCCAAGCATAACTTGAAAATATGTTTAAGTTTAGAGTCATTAGCTTAGACATCCAGATCTATAATTCTATTCTATGTCCTAGTACCGTGATGGTGAACCTGTGGCACGGGTGCCACAGGTGGCATGTATAGCCATTTCTGCGGGCACACGAGCCGTTGCCCTAGATCAGCTCCACTGCACGTGTGTGTGCGCTCCAACCTGCAAGCTGATTTTTGGGTCTGCCATGCATGTGGAAGATGCGCGCGCATGCCCTTGCCGCCCTGCCCCTCTCAGTAGTCTCCACGCAGCCCGTTTTGCATGCCAGGTAAGTACGTGGCTTGCGCAGAGGCTCTGGGAGAGCGAAAAACTGAAAGTCTGGAAATGGGCCATTTCTGGCCTCCGGAGGGGCAGGGGAGGCAGTATTCGCCCTCCTGGAGGATCCAGGAAAGCCTCCGGAGACTGTGGAGGGTGAAAAATGGCCCTACCAGAAGTCTGGAAACGGGCCGTTTCTGGCCTCCGAAGGCTTCAGGGAGGCCAAAACAGGGCATGGGGGGGGGTCGTGTGTGCATGCATGGGGTGGAGGGGAGCGTGGGGGGGTTGCACACCCCTGCACAGGGGGGCAGGGCAGCAGGGGGGATTGCGCGTGCATGCGCATTATGGGTGTGGGCACGCGCGTGTGCTATCGCGCACATGTGCGCACTTTTGGCACCCGAGGAAAAAAAGATTCACCATCACTGTCCTAGTACATGCTAGAAGAAAGAACTGACTTGATGAGGTGGAGGTGAGGAGATGAAGGAGAAGACGACAGATGGATGGGATCAAGAATATCACGTAAGCCTCCTTGGAAGAGCTGTGAACCGTAATCGTCTGCAGGAGTCATGCCTGACTTGATGGCACTTCACAAGGTACCTTTGAGAAGATCAGGTAACAGCATCTTGAACAAGAAGTTGTCGCTGAACCCAATCTCTAATTTAGATCCTATAAATCACGTACGGTCCAATATCGCCCAAAGAAATAAGACTAAGGTAGCCTGTCATGAAGTTGGTGCTAGGCTTGGTTTCCTTCCAAATTTTTAATAGACCTTCCCTTGATTACTAACTTGAACAAAACAGCACAGGATTTTATCCACTTCGGTTTTATTGTTGGCTTCTTGCCCGGGAGAAATGTACATGTGAGTGTGCAGACGTGGGAAAAATCGATACACCGCTTGGAGAAAAAAAAACCTTTTGAGTGATTTATAACCAGGCCCGGCACTTGTGGCCGATGTGCTCTTGTGACAGTCACAATTGAAACATACAAGCAAGCAAGTGGAATCCGCCATCCATCATGCTGCTTTAATTATTTCTCTTTTTTTTTAACGCCTGCCACAGCTCCAGCGATCGTCAGGCCGCGCTTGGCAGAGCTGTTAAAATAATCAGGCTGATCGCGCGATGTAATTTGGTGTGGCTTTTACTCGCTCACGAAACATTTGTTCTATTAACCGCGACATCATCATGCACCAGTGAGAACGAAGACGGAGGGGCGACATTTGTGCAATGCAATAATTACTATCCTTCGGTGTTTGTGCGTGTGGTGTGTTTAGTGTACGAGTGTGTTGAATTTCAGCTAATTTGCTGAAGTTACTTCTCTAATGTTGAGCAGATTCTCTGTAATCAGAGGACATAACAGCTTTGATTTTTCTCAAATTTAAGTACCCACTAAACTCCACTGGATTCAACACAGCATACATTTAAGTAGATTTATGCAGGAATGCATAAATTCATCATAATTCATTAGCCTCAACAATGCACGGAAGTGATGTTTATCATGATCTCATCATGTGATGGAATCTTAAGAGTCTCACCTGTATAATGACATCATGTCCTCAGTGATGTAATCGTGGCTTGTACGAGATGCCCATAGTTGACTGAACACTGTTGTCCTTCTCATTTACTCTCAAGGCAGTTCTGAAGTAGACAACAGCAAGAGAACATCTTCTCCCTTTTAAGTGTAAATTTTAAATTTTTAATGTATTTTAAAATTATGGGTATTTTAAATTATGGGTATTAATTCAGCCAAATTTATTTAATTCATTTTATTCGATTTTAAATTTTGTATATTTATGTGTTTTATTTCATGGCTGTACACCGCCCTGAGTCCTTCGGGAGTAGGGCGGTATAGAAATTCAATAAATAATAATAATAATAATAATAATAATAATAATAATAATAATAATAATAATAATAATAACATCTTTCTGAAGGCCACAGGCCATCATCTAAGCTAGCATCAGGCTCATGAGTGGGAGGTAGAACCTGTCCGTGTGCAGTTACACTAGTTGGTAGAAAATTCATGGAGTTATCATCCCAATGTGAGGGTTCCAGTCTGGAAAAATCTGATTGAATTTAGATTTGAATCACAATCCTACAGTCATCTTTCAGATGCCTTATTTCCATAAAGTTATATATTCTAAATTCATCAGCATCCACTGCTGGAGCGGAGTTTCTGATTCTTGGCATAAGAGTTATGATGTTTCTGTGCATCTCCTTTGTATAACTTATTTGTATTTTTATTGCTTTTTGTAGAATTTATTGTTCTCCGACTAAGTCCTATGAATTTGGAAATCATTTTACATTCTTTTAATATTCAGACCAACATGTTCAAAGGACACCCTGTGTATAAATCACAGCCTTTGTCGACAAAGTAGTTTAAGTTTGGATTTTGACCTATCGCAGCCACAGTTTTATGTACTTTGAAGGAAACTGAGAAAAGCCAAAATTGAAATCCACAGGACTTAAAGGAGTCACCATTTAGTCCTGTGCTACTGAATGTCAGAAAGGCATTCCTTCACTCCGAAAGGAGCCAGCCCAAATACTGGAAAGTGGAGATAGAAATATTGCAAATGTAAAGTCTCTTACATTTTTTTTTTACTAGATGATAGATACCAAGGTAGCTAGATAGCAAGAGGGAGAGGGGGTGGGGAGGGAGGGAGAGAGAGAGAGATGATAGATAGATGATAGATAGATAGATAGATAGATAGATAGATAGATAGATAAACATAGAAAGAGAGAGAGGGAGAGGGAGAGAGAGAGAGAGGGAAGAGAGATGATAGATGATAGATAGGTAAGTAGACAGATTACATTATAGATGGATGGATGGATGGATGGATGGAGAATGAGAGAGAGAGAGATGGAGAGAGAGAGAGAGAGATGATAGAGAGAGAGAAAGAGAGAGAGAGATAATAGATAGATAGATGATAGATAGATAGATAGATAGATAGATAGATAGATAGATAGATAGATAGATATAGATGGATAGATTTCCCTTCAGGGAAAGTAGGTAGCCTATTTTAGTGTGTTATGTTCAACCTTTTTACAATTTAATAATGTGTGTCTCTTGGAAGACTTGAAAATGCATTGCCATTTTGACGAAAAACACAGGCTGCAGAAGATCTGTAGGTTCTCCAAGTGAAATCATTGAGGGGGGAAAGCCTAAAATAAATAAATAAATAAATAAAGAGAAAGATTATTTTTTAAAAAAAGAACCAGGAAACTAAACAGAGGAATTGCTTTCCTGTCCATTTCTATAAACGTGACCTGAGAAAAGCACAGCCTTATAGCTGAGAGGTTCTCCAGACAAGAGCTCAGCCTCCGAGAGAAATTCTGTCTAAGTAGAAATTCTGTTCCTCGTCCACTCCAATTATTTTTTTTATTTCCTTCAGGTTGCAATCTATTTTTCATAGGGAGCATTCAGGGTATCCTTCACCCATATCTTGAAAGGGCATACCAACCATCCAGGAATATTACCATGTGACAAGCACATCCATTTTGCAACCCTGCAGGTCCAAAACCTGGGAATAGCTAGCAATCTGCCCTTTCTTGATCCCTTAAAGTAGTCTTCACTTAGCAACTGCCTCGTTTAACAACCGTTCACAGTTATGATGGTTATGAAACAAGTAACTTGGAATTGAAAGCTTTTGCCAGTTTTGAATATTTCAGAATATGCTGAGAGCTACTAATTTATCACGGATCTCAAAAATGGGCAAGAGTGGGTCGTCTCTTTATCTATGGAGATGTCCCCAGATATTTGTTGGAAAGATAAATAAGAAAGGCATTTATTTGTCCAACTGTTTGACCAAGAAAAGATAAGGGTGTATCCCTAATTAAGCCCTGCTCTCCAACCTGTTGCCTTAAAATGTTCTGGGAGTGCAATTCTCAGATTATCAACCCAAAACATCTTAGAAATTGTGCAATCCCAACACACATCCACACAGTGTGTGTCATAAGTGCTAGCTCTGTTAGGCAGCATGGTGGACTCCAATAGGAGTTACCTACTGCAGAGGTCTCCTTCAAGATGGAGAAAATTGGCTTTTCCTGGGCAGCTGATTTGCATCATGGTACAAAAGGAAGGTCCTTTCCTACATGACAATGGAGCTTCTCAGTCATCCAGGTCATGGTTGTTCCAAAACTGCTTTTTCAAAAGGCAATTGGACTTTCTTCGTTATTCCTTGAAGATGTTTCGCTTCTCCTCCAAGAAGCTTCTTCAGTTCTGAAGAAGAACTGAAGAAGCTTGGATGCCTTTTGAGAAAAAAAAACACCGTTGGGATCTTTCATGAAGTTCAGAAATAGACTGTGTTTGTATGAACAATAGATGTCAGCGCTCCAAGTATTGCACCCATAGAAAACAAACTCCGAGGCACTCAAGTTCCTCAAAAAACGATTTATTGGATGCATCATTTTGGCACAAACTGGTGAAAGCCGACTCTGAGGTTTCCCGCGGCTTTCACCTAATTAAAAGTACAAGTTTCCCTTTCCCTCCCAAGTCACTGGTCACGCTGTCCAATCGAGGTGCTGGCTGGTTGCTGAGTTACCGGCTCCTCCTCTGGCCAGCCATCTGTGAGAATGTCCTCAGTTCCCTCAGGAAAACTTTACTGTTTTTGGCTACAAAACCCCATCTAACTATTTCCCCCCCCCCCCCACTCCCACTGCTGTGTGGCAGCCCTGAAGCCTTCAAGATGGCTTCGGCCAGGCTCACTTCAGGGTTGACAATAACCTGGCCTGTTTTCAGAGTAGCAAATCAGTTGAGTTTGGCCATCCATGCAAAACCATTGCATCCCATTTCCAGGAGGACTTCAGACTGGTAAGAATAGTCATCCTGTCATTCTCGTGTCACCACATTAGAGGGCTTGATCCAAGCTTCCCATGAAGACTTACCCTGAAGATATTTGCAGTGAACACTTCTAAAAAGTCTATGATCTGTTCTGCATTTCACTTTCTTCCTCACCCTTTTCCATCTCTGTAGGCACCTGACAGAAGCTCCAGTTGGTTTGCTCCTTCCTTCTCGATGGGATGGCTCTTCCTCCGGCGCAGTTGCGTGCTGGAGAGAATGAAGACCTCTGACGTTTCTACCAAGGTTTCTTAGAGCTGCCGGAAGAGGAGATGAAGATGTTGGCAAAGCTTTCTATGCTTGTGCTGGTTTTGTTCTCCAGGAGTGTCTTCCTTTCGTTAGGCGATCACAACTTTTTAAGGAAAGAAATCAAAATAGAAGGAGACCTGGTGCTGGGAGGTCTCTTCCCAATCAAGGAGAAAGGCACTGGCGCCGAAGAATGTGGACGAATCAACGAAGACCGAGGCATCCAGAGGTTGGAGGCCATGCTGTTTGCCATCGATGAGATCAACAGAGACAGCCACTTGCTCCCAGGGATCAAGCTTGGAGTTCACATTTTGGATACTTGCTCACGAGACACCTATGCTTTGGAACAGTCCCTGGAGTTTGTCAGGGCTTCTTTGACTAAAGTGGATGAAGCAGAGTACATGTGTCCTGATGGCTCATATGCAGTTCAAGAAAACACCCCGTTACTCATCGCGGGGGTCATCGGAGGATCTTACAGCAGTGTTTCCATACAGGTGAGCAGGTCCATCCATAAAAATAATGTAGCATGTCCATGATCATTCACCCGTTTCAGGGAATATCTAAGGATCTCCCAATGAGATCAGGACTGGTGGGGTTGGGTTGTGCAGTCACAGTTTAAGGCAAAAGAATTGGAGGGGATGGTAGCCACTAAATGTTTCTCATGATAATCTCAGTATCATCTACGAGAAAGTATGAAATGTCTAAATGTTGGGTCGGAATAATGCTTCCTTCAAGGCCAGCCATTTCAAAATCTGAATGTGTTCTCCAAGATCTCAAGATCTTTCCAGGCATGATTAACATTATTTAATGGAAGATCCTGCAGATCAAACTTGGAACCTTCCAAAATTTAAACATTAAAGGAGATGGCCTCCAAAACTTTGACTTCTGCTATTAGCCTTCTTCAGGCCAAGAATGCTTGACAGAAACAAGGCTCAGATCTCCAGCTTAAGTAGTTATTCTTTTTGGCTCATTGGCCATCTGACAACGCATCCTTCAGTCCAAGAGCCAGAAGACTTGGCTGGGTGATAACAGCTCCTCAGCTGGAAGTGCCGATACAATCAGGATAATAAGGATTATCGGCCTCTTGTCTCGTTGTTCTGTTTGCTGATGACATCACAAGGTTCTTCAAGCTTTTATCTTCCTGGAGGGTTTTAATAACCAATCATGAATATTCAGATCGCTTTTGCAGTGTGATTTTTCAAGATGGATATGGCAGGAGGTAACTTTTAAACAGCCACCGCTTCGGGTTTTTTTTTCAGGATATTTTTGTCTCAATTATTTCCCTGCAGGCACAAATGTGAGCAAATCAGTTATACAGGAGTAAAATCTTATTATATCTTAGTGATGCAATTAAAAGATTTAACTCTCACATTTGTAGAAATGCAGATATATTAATTTAAATATTCGATACCTGAGTCCAAACAGCATATACTCTAATAGTTCATTGAGCAATCATTGATTGAATGTAATCAATAATTTGCATTGCAGCAAAGGAATATCTAATTCTTGAAGTTCAACGGTTGGATCTGTACAAAATGGTAAACTAATTTATGGTTTCTGAATACCATACGGGTACATTTAATTCTATCCGCTCTCCCCTTTGCTGCTGCTGAGGAAAAAAATAACAATAAATAGAAATTTTATAAGAAGGAAGGACATGATTATGAATTATGTCTGATAATAAAGCAAAGTCTTCTGCTTTGTGCTTCGTTAATAAGCCAGAGTCTAAAACCTGTATTGGATTTCTGATTCCTACCCATTCATTCATTCATTCATTCATTCTTCTCAAATGGGTAGGTCAGTTATCTCTCTTCTTTTTTTTTTTTTAATGCAAAAGTTTTACAATTACATTTTCACCCCTTTTTTCACCCCCCCACCTCCCTCCCCAAACTTCCCGTCCTCCCTAACCCTCCCTAACCCTCCCCCCCCCCAGACTTCCCTATTATGTACTCATAACTAATAACACTGATATATATACCTGAACCCATCCCTCCCCCTATATAATTTTCCCTCTTTGTCTCTTTATATTAAAATATTTCTAATACATTGTTTTCAAATAAAAGCTATTTGATACTTTCTAATTTGGTATTTGTTCTGAACATATTCTATCCACCTTTTCCATTCCCATTCATAAGTCTCTTGTGAACAATCTTTTAAATATGCTGAAATCTTCGCCATCTCTGCAAAACTGGCCATCTTCGAAGTCCATTCCTCGATAGTAGGCAAAGCTTCATTCTTCCAATATTTACCTATCAACAATCTTGCTGCTGTTATCATATACAATATTAATTTTGTTTCATCCCGTGTAAAACCCTTAACTATGCCCAATAAAAACAATTGTGGAGAAAATTGAATTTTTTTCTTCAAAACATTCTGCATGACCCACCATATTTTTATCCAAAAAGCCTTAACTTTCCTACAGGTCCACCAAACATGATAATACGTAGCATCCAAACATTCACATCTCCAACATTTTGGCTGAACATTAGGGTACATACATGACAACTTTTTAGGATCTAAATGCCATCTATAAAACATTTTATAAAAATTTTCCCTCAGATTCTGCGACTGTGTAAATTTAACATTCTGAACCCAAATTTTTTCCCATGTTTCCAACATCACTGGTTCTTCAAAATTTTGTGCCCACTTAATCATGCAATCTTTAACTAATTCCGTTTCTGAATCCCTTTCTAGCAAAACATTATAAAGCCTTTTAATATGCATTGGACCTTTCTCTCTTATATGTCTAACCAATTCTTCCTCATGCAACATAATACCAGTTTTTTGGTCCTCTTTCCATCTCAATTGTAATTGATTATATTGTAACCAGGTTAAATTAATCCCTTCATCCAACAGTGTCTGCAATGTCTTCAGCTGCCATCTGCCCGCATCTGTAAAAAGAACCTCTTTGTATAAAAACCCCCCGAGTGACATTATATTTGTATTCCACAAGGTATGACCAAGATCCAGCCATAGCGGTATTTTATAATCCCATTTGAGTCGGTGCTTCTTCCAAACTCTCATCAAAGAGTCTCTAAGTATATGACTTTTAAATACTTTATCAACTTTGTCATCATAAAATAGGTAAGCATGCCATCCAAATTCAAGATCAAAACTTTCTGCATTCAATATTCCAGCCTTTTTACCCCCAAACCAATCGCTTGTTAAAGTTAAAGCTGCTGCATCATAATATAACTGTAGGTTTGGAAGTTTAAGGCCTCCTCTTTCTGGAACATCTTGCATAATTTTCAATTTCACTCTCGGCTTTTTCTCGTTCCAGACGAACTTATTAAGTCCAGTTTGCCAAACTTTCAGTTGTTTATCACTTTTAAGCACCGAAATCATTTGAAACAAAAACAGAAATCTTGGCAAAATGTTCATCTTAACTGCTGCTATTCTTCCAAGTAAAGACAGTTGCAGCTTTTTCCAAGTCTCCATGTCTTTCTGAACCTCTCACCACAACACCTCATACATCTCTCTTCAATTCTAAATCTGAAATTTTATAGGGAGGGAGGGAGGGAGGGAAGGAAGGAAGGAAGGAGGAAGGAAGGAAGGGAGGGAGGGAGGATGGAAGGAAGGAAGGGAGGAAGGAAGGAAGAAAAAAGGGAGGAAGAGGGAAAGAAAGAAGGAAAGAAAGAAAGGAGGGAGTAAGGAAGGAAGGATGGAAGGAGGGAGGGAGGGAGGGAAGAAGGAAGGAAGGAAAAAGGAAGGAGGGAAGGAAGGAGGGAAGAAAAAAGAAAGAAAAAAGGAGGAAGGAAGGAAGAAAGAAAAGAAAGAAGGAAGGAAGGAATCCAAGGATCATCATATTAGATGCTCCCAGAGTCTTCTAGAAGAGTCCAGATCATTCACCAAATTCTGGATCCACTCCTGGAAAGCGAGTGGACTTTCTCCGCATCCTAATGGCCCTTTTTCTCTTTCCAGGTGGCCAATTTGCTCCGGCTCTTCCAGATTCCTCAGATCAGCTATGCTTCCACCAGCGCCAAGCTCAGTGATAAATCCCGGTATGACTACTTTGCCAGGACGGTGCCTCCTGACTTCTATCAAGCCAAAGCCATGGCTGAGATCCTGCGCTTCTTCAACTGGACGTACGTGTCCACAGTGGCCTCGGAAGGAGACTATGGAGAAACGGGGATCGAAGCCTTCGAACAAGAAGCCCGGCTGAGAAACATCTGCATCGCCACCTCCGAGAAAGTCGGCCGGTCCAATATCCGAAAGTCCTACGACAGCGTCATTAGAGAACTTCTCCAGAAACCCAACGCCAGAGTAGTGGTCTTGTTCATGCGTAGCGATGATTCTCGGGAGCTCATCGCCGCAGCCAACCGGTTCAACGTCTCCTTTACCTGGGTGGCCAGTGACGGCTGGGGGGCCCAGGAGAGCGTGGTCAAGGGCAACGAACACGTTGCCAGCGGGGCCATCACTCTAGAGCTTGCTTCCCATCCGGTCAAAGAGTTTGACCGATACTTCCAGAGCCTCACCCCTTATACCAACCATCGCAATCCCTGGTTTAAGGACTTCTGGGAGCAGAAATTCCAGTGCGGCCTTCAGAACAGGAAAACCCACAAAAAGGTGTGTGACAAGCACTTGTCTATCAACAGTTCCAACTACGAACAAGAGTCCAAGATCATGTTTGTGGTCAACGCGGTGTATGCCTTGGCCCACGCTTTGCACAAAATGCAGAGGACAATGTGTCCGAACACAACCAAGCTCTGTGACGGCATGAAGCACCTGGACGGCAAAAAGCTGTACAAAGACTACTTACTCAAAGTCAACTTTACAGGTAAACCATCAGCCTCTTCGGATGCTTTCTCTCGAAAATGGTTATGGTTTATTCTCACTGATTCAGCCTCTTCTTTGTCTTGGGCCGTCTTGTTCAAGCAGGGTTTGAGGTGAGGTAAAAATCAACTGCTTTGAGTAAAATATTTATGTTATCTTGAGGCAAGGGAGGACTTAACAGAACTAGATAAAGCCAAGAGCTTCTGTTGATTAAATTACCAAGACAAACAACTGCAAATGCCTTTTCGTTCTATTTTGAGGTCTGGCAGTATAAATCAAGAGGTAGCCAGCAGTTCCACCAAAATCCAACAAAATGTCAGGAAAACAAACACAGATGTCGCTTCGGAGGGAAACAGGCAGGATTAGAAGAGACAGGTAAATCGGGGAGCCATTTAAGAGATGGTGCCAGATGGACTTTTTTTTTGGTCTCTCTATGTAGGAAGAGTTTGTTTTCTGGAGAAGTTAGGCAAGGGAGAGAAAGTTAAGCAGTCAAAGAAAGCCAGATCCAGATAACAAGAATAACAGAATAACACAGTTAGAAGGGACCTTGGAGGTCTTCTAGTCCAACCCCCTTCTCAGGCAGGAAACCCTCTACAAATGACTCTCCAGTCTCTTCTTAAAAACCTCCCGTGATGAAGCACCCACAATTTCTGGAGGCCAGCTGTTCCACTGGTTAATTGTTCTCACCATTAGGAAACTTCTCCTTAATTCCAGGTTGCTTTTCTCTTTGGTTAATTTCAGAATGTCTCTGGAATGGTTCACTGCCCACTTTCCAGAGAAATTCTTAAAAAGCTTCATTCTAGCTCAAAGATGACCTGGTTATTTTAGCACTGATTTTCTCTACCCTAAACCATTTGGGGTGATACAGATTTTCAAAAAATATTGTTTTCTAGCCATATGAACATTTCAAATACAACAAATAGCACTAAACAGCTAAAATAACAAACGTTCACCACGAACCACCAGTAGTCATTAAAAACACTACTAAAAATAAAAGTTATGAGTTAAGAAATGAAATTTGCACGTAGGAAAAGCCGCACGCGAGCCAGTGCAGTTTGTATTTTTAGCTACCCTTCCAAAGGTTTTAGTGAAAACTTTAGTAACCACAAAACAGGAACCTGCTTTCCTATATAATGGGAGCAAAACCATCTCTTATTTTAACAGCTGTTTGCCTTCTCCTCCTAGGAATGAAATAAGGGCTTTATGAAGTCACCAGTTTCTCTGAGCTATTGATTGTTTCCAATGTGCCCATTCCAGAAGATATTTTGTCCCAAAAGCAAGCAGCATTTTGGGACAAAGCAGCAAAAGAGAGTGAGAAAAAACTGGGCACAGATTGGCTTCCTTTAAAATGGCCGTTGTTTGGCACCAAGATGCCAGTCAAGAGTGTTTCCAAGACCTTTCTCAAGGAAGACGTAAGTGTTGTGGCCCGCCAGTGGCCAGCAGAGCTGGCAGCAGATTCAGACAGTGAGGAGGTTGGGGAGGAGCGTGGACCAGTCCTGAAGTCTGGGGATGGCTCGGACGATGGTTCTGAGTCAGAGGCAGAGAGGGGGCCAAGGCCATCTGGGAGTTTTTTGCTGCCTCCGGAGTCTCCGGAGTCTGACATCAGCAGAAGAACAGCATGAGCCTGTTCCCAGTGTGGGCATGCGCAGAGCTGCCAGGAGACAGGAACAATTAAGGAAACAGGGTCGACTTGGGAGTAAGGATTGGAGATGCTTGGCCCCTCCCATAAGACATAAAAGAAGAGCAAATGGGATGTGAGCTTTTGCAGGAAGCAATTAGTTCATCTGGCCGATTCAAGATTTGAAACCTCTGTTTGTGACTCTGTGCCAAGTTTGGCCTTGCCCTGCGGCTGGAAATTAGCTCCTTGGCAGCGTTCCACGTGAGATAGGTAGGTGTTGATAATCTTCCTCTGAAAGACTGTTTATCAAGCTTTGCGGACTGTAAATGAAAGTAATTTACAGCCGTATGAATTAAAGAGGTTTGCAGGGGCCAAGTTTATGCTGTTTAATTTCTAAGGAAGCCGAGGTCAGAACAGTAAGGAGGGCTGTATTACAAAATACAGCAGCCGTGTTTCCTTGGATAAAAGTGAACGGCGAACCTGAAAAACAGCAAATCGGGAAAAAAGGGTTCCTAAGGGCTAAAAATATTTATGTTTTTATTTTATTTGGAACTTTTTATTTTATTTATAACTTTGCTTGACAAAGGAATATACAAGAGCGGAGCCAAAAAAAAAAAAGCATTAAATTAAATAAATTTAAAGGGCAGCTTTCTGAAATAAAGGTCCATCCTAAAAGGACCTGTGGCGACAATATTTTAAAGTGGAAGCTAACTGTGAAAATGATCATTTTTATCCAGGTCAAAATGTTTCTTGAAAGAAAGTCCTTCAACAAGGACATATAGTTTAATATTTGGAGCAGGGCAGTGTGATTTCAGCCTGCAGGGTTCCATAATTCTGATGACTGGTCCTACTAGCTGAGATTTAGGGAAGCTGTAGTCCCTAACATCAAAAAACCTGGCCTACGTCTGGATTACGTCTGATTATCAATCAGCCAGCAAAGTCCCTGGATGAGTTTGGGCCCATTCTCTACCTGACCAACCTCACAAGATTTCATAAATTATTTTTTTTAAAAAAACACACATCCCACCTTAATTCCTTGCAGGAAAGGCAAAATAGAAATAACATTCAAATACATTTCAAAATAGAAATAAGCCAACAAAAATTCCCCTTCTGCATCCCACAGAAATGCACAATCCACATTTGAAGACCTTGTTAGACTGATTTGTTTCTTGAGTCACAACATTTGAGGGTTTAAAGGAGTTTAAGGGGGGGAGGGGAAATTGGGTCTCCGCATCCCCATCTCATAACCTGACAGACGGCATCTTGTTTACTCTTCCACAAGAATGGTTCCATAAAGCAGGTTAAGCAAAGATCTTGTGGAAATTGATTTGCGCAACAGTGTTCAACACTTGAGTTCTCCTATCGCGTGAATTGGGGTTTTGCACTGGGTACTATTTTTGTTTTCCTGAAATCAGCCACTTTACCTCAATAGCTCTTTTTTTAAAAAAGAAAAAAATTGGCTGGGGCCTATTTTCCATCTTGATCTCTATCCATTCTCCTCTTTTCAAGAAGAAAGGAAAAAGAGAGTGGGGTTTTGCTGAACTTCCAGTAAAGTGAGAAAAAAAAAACACACATACACACATCTTGAGAGTCCATTTCCATGGTAACCACTCCATTCAGGTAAGAAAGTAAATAGGGTCGTTGGCCTGCAGCACACATTCTCCCCAGGCAAACTCACAACAGCCCCCCTAAGTCCCCACCTTCTGTGCCATATAGACCAGCTGAGAATTGCAGCTGAATAAAATCTATTTTTTTTCCGGTTGTTGTTGTAGTCCCTTAAAGTATTACTCCATGCCAGATGGAGTCTGGCTTCAAAATATACTGCTGGAGTTGTCTTATGGCAGCTCAGTGTCTATCCTGCCTTTATTTTGTGCAAATCAAGGTGTGTACATAATGCTCTTGCCTTCTCAGGGGCTGCCCCAAAGAAGAGGGAGTCAAGCTATTCTCCAAAGCACCTGAGGGCAGGACAAGAAGTAACGGATGGAAACTAATCAAGGGAGGAAGCAACCTAGAACTAAGGAGAAATTTCCTGACAATTAGAACAATTAATCAATGGAACAACTTCCTCCAGAAGTTGTAAATGCTCCAACACTGGAAGTTTTTAAGAAGTTGTTGGATAACCATTTGCCTGAAGTTGTGTAGGGTTTCCTGCCTGGATAGGGGGTTGGACTAGAAGACCTCCAAGGCCCCTTCCAACTCTGCTATTCTATTCTATTCTAGTCTAGTCTAGTCTAGTCTAGTCTAGTCTAGTCTAGTCTAGTCTAGTCTAGTCTATATTTTCTTTCACTTTAACAACACTGTGTGGTCTGTGGTAAAGTTGGATGGGAAGGCAATGATAGATCCAAAGTCATCCAACTGACTTCCATGCCTAAGAGAACTAGAAGAGAGAACCAGAAGATCTCCTGGGTTCTAGATTGCTATCTTCTACATTAAACTGGCCCTTGTTATAATGATACCTCATCTTCTGTCTAATATAGAAAGTCAGATAAAGTATTTTATCCTTTTGAGCCTTCTTCAGCCTCAAATGAGCGTGAAAACTACTTGGCATGTCAGAGTGTTTTCACACTATGTGCTGAACCCTAAATCTGGGTTAAACAAACACGAACCCTTGAAGCTGTGCCTTTTTAACCAACAGCCTGTTTTCAGAAGTTTATGAAAACACATTGGATGCTTTCAGAGTTGGTCAGCTCAAAGAAGGACAACTCCGTCCACCATTTTTAGTCGTTGTCTGTTTGTCAGTACAAGTTCTGAGCTACCTGCAAATTCAAGTTAAAAACAGACTTAGGCATGATGGAACTTATTCTTAACCCAGGGAGTAGTTTACATAACTTTTTTGAAAAAGTGTTTAGCTGAAACTGTTCATTCTTTTGTTAGCATATGGTAGAATTATTTTCCATCTGATTTATTTCTTGGCACAATACCCAGCTTGTGAAGAGCTCAGCTTCCAGTTAATTCTTCAAATTAGGAACTTGCCCAAATGTGATTCTGTGAGTTAACGCAAGGCTACACAACTCTAGTTTTTTTTTTTTTTAACGTCCTTGGGAATTTCTTGCAGATCGCTCTGGGAATTATGGGTTAACAAACTAGGAAAGTACCTTGCATATTCTATGCTTATCTCTTTGGCACAATAACTGTCTTTTGTTCAAGATGCCTCAACTTTATGTTGTTGAAAACAGCAAACTTTAAAGATTCTCAGTTGAATAGATATATTTAAATATGGTAGAAATCATCTGAAATCAGGCCAGGTTTCTCCAAAAGAAGCTTGCAGAACCTAAAAATAATGAAAGCCAGACTAGAGCCAGCAAGGAGCTCTCAGAAATAAGGCATAAATAAAAGGCCGCGTAAGAAAGATGGCAAATGGGTGGAATGGTTAGCAGTGCCAAGGA